GCGGACTACTTAAATAGGCACTCAAAAGGTGCACGTGTGGCTTGATGTACCATCGTTGTAATTATATATAAAACTTCATCTATACTCTAATAAAAAGTTTTCCAGACCAAAGAGGTCACCTTAATACCAAAAAAAAAAAAAAAAAAAATTAATTACCAAGTCTTTCTTCAAACTGTAATGATATAATAATTACATACTTTATTTGTGGCTTATAAAAGCCTGACTCGGAAAAATCGAATATGTGAGGAGATTGTTTATTGGACCTTAATAAAAAAAAACTATTATTACATGTTCACCTATTGTATAATTTCTAAATAAAGCAGTTATAAAAGTTATCTAGTTTTATAAAATATTTATTATTGAGTATACTTTATTATCGATCTATTATTATGTGTATTAAAATATTACAAGACCTTTATCTAAAATATTCATTTATATGAAACTGTTAAGTAGAAAGTACAATTTTGGTTTTAATAAATTTCTCCAAAGAATTAACCAATTTAAATTGCTCACTTGAATCTTCTTGTTGAAGTAAAAACAAACGAATAATTTCTAAATTATTTAATACTAAACTACTACTAACAGGTATAGTTTCAACACTATCATTTTCCTTATCTATTTTAACACTATTTTCATCAACAATTTTAACATTTTCATTTTTTTAAAATATATATGCAAGTTTCTTGATAATCTGATCATCATTGGGAATTTCATAAATGATATTTTCATCATTAATTGTAAGAAATTCATTGGCTTTCATCACATTAGAAAAGTAACATGAGCCAAGTGTACCAATAAGCCTATTTAATACCGAATCATTGGCTCTACAAATATTATTAAAAGAATTCTGGATTTTGGCACTAGTATCAACTGGAAGAATTTTTGTATGATGCTAACAATTGCAAATAGTTTTAGCTAAAACTTCTTCCTACTCTCTAATTACATATTAAATTACTTGAAGAATGTTCATCTTTAAATTTTGAATCAAGTTTCCTGCTTTAACTTGGTTTAATAACCACCTAATTATAAAAAATAAATACAAAATCAAAATAAAATAAAATAAAATAAAATAAAACCTATAACTAACTGAAGGTGATAACGATGATAGGTCTTTTTAAAAGTCATGATTATCCCCGTATCTATAGGTTGGATTTTTGAAGTGGTATTTGGAGGAAGAAAATGAACATCTACCTACATGTTTAAGGGTCAAACTCTTAATATTATGACTAGTACAATTATCAAGTAATAAAAGAACACATTGGCCATTATGTTTTCATAAGACTTGAAAATCAAAATCAAGAAGCCATTTTTGAAATAGAATCAAAAGCATCTATGTCTTAGCATTATTTCAGGCAAAATTTTAATTTTTATATTTTAAAGCATCGGAAGTTGGCATACTTGCTAATAATAAGAGATTTAATTTGTGAGACCTATCTGCATTTGAATATAATACTATAAAAATATGCTCTTTATTTTTTTTATGTCTTACAAGGTATTGTGTTGCTAATATATGATTTGGCTCTAATCTGTAACATATAATACAGTATAAAAAAAAGCTTAACTCAAAAAAAACAAAAAAAAATTTAAAACAATAAAAAAAAAAAAAAGTCATAAAAAAAAACTGGTAAAATAGGCTAGTCTCATCCATGTTATATATTCTGTTAAGAGAATATCTTTTACATATATCTTGCAATAACGGCAAAGACTCAACAATAGCAGTTTGATCAGCAGATACTTCTTCACTATGAAGTATTCTTTGACAAATTTCATTTCTTTTTTTAAATTTTTGAAGCTATCTATGAGAAAATTGTAATTTACTTTTCAGAATTTTTAATTCATTTGCTAACAATTTGCCCTTTTCAATAATCAAAGCATCACTTAAAATAGTCCAATTTTGGTAAATTAATATAAATTCTTTAAGTGCAAGTTCAAGCTCCAGAAAAGTGACAGATTTATGATGCTTAGCTTTTGGATTTATTACTTCATTGGAAAGTCACTTTTCTTTGAATTGAAGAATTCAAGTAATAGTAGATTCACTAACTTTAACTCCTTATTTATTATTAACACACTTTACATATTTAGACCAAGTTTTCTTGTTATCACAAAAATATTAATAAAGCTTATATTTTTGAGCATCCATAAGAGTGGTTCTTTGTGACATTATCAAAAATGTTGTATCGAAGGCTAGACAATTGTATTAACTTAATGTTAAATTAGACAGTTAATAGATAACAGGTAATACAAACAAACAAACACCAAATATAGAGAAAACGGTGCTTGTAATCATATTCTAACTTTGGGTTTGATGTACAAATTGCCTTACAGGTTATTACTACTATGGTAAGACCAAGGATATCATACATATTTGTTATTTAATATGTATATGTATATGTCCTTATATATGTTATATAAAAAAAAATTTTTTTAAACAATTACATGCAATAGACTTTTTTGGTGAATAAATACCATATTTCATATGAAGTTTTTTTAAAAAAAACCTCCTGCTTTGTACACAATAAAATGGTTATATATAGCAAAATCTTTTAGAAAAGTATTCGCTTAATAAGTACATAACAGGGTAAAATCCATGCTATGAAGTAGTAAAATCCACTATATTGATCACAAGGATAAAACCCACTTTTGTAAAATAAAAAACATAATTTTAATCCAAAATGATTTATAGTGTAGATTTTATCTAGTTCTATAAATACAGTATTTTAAATATACTAATTTATAAAATTATATAATTTATTTATATTTATAAATTGCTTATTCTTATTGGATAAGCATCACATAATATGTATTTATAAAGGTAATTTTATTTATATTGGACTAAAAATTTGATGCATGTGTAGAACATAGAGAGTGTGCATTTAACACTATAGTACAACATTGGGACTGGGTTTAGGTATTCATTTATAAAGAGTGTGCATTTATAGAGAATGCATATATGGAGGTTTGACTATAGTAATTATTAAATTATAATTAGAACCAGAACTAGACTATTTAGAACTAAGAGCCAAAACTTGGTCTTTAACAATCTAGTTTTGGTTTTTACAAAGACCAATTCATCTCTACTAACTAACTACCAAAATGAATTTCAATACTAACTGTTATAGATAAAATTAGTTCATCTAGAATTAATATTCAAGATAGGTTGTATATAAGGTTATGTTAGAGGAATATTGAAATTAAAGAAAATATTAGAACAGTAAAATAAAATAATAATAATAATACCATATACAAGATTCCCTTAAATAGTAGATCTACCATGAATTAGACCTGGCACAAACCACAAAATCTACATTAATCAAATGCAGTTTTTTTCACATAGTTAGACTGCCTATTGTAAATACAAAGTGTGTATGCACTTTAAATTTTTTTCTTTTTACAATATAGCTCTTAGTAGGTACTAGACCCAAGAGACTACTATATAGTTTAAAAATTGGTGGAATATAACAAACCCAGATTTTGTATATGGCAAATTACAGTAATAAAAATAAATAAATGCTTGTTGTATTTAGTAAGTTTTGTGTATAGAATCAGGATCATGTAATTATATATATAATTAATTGAATCACAATATAGCAGGCTTTTATTGTGATTGGTTAATTTGTAGATCATCTTATGAAATCATAAAAATTTTATTAAATATAAAAAAAACTAATATGTATAAAAAAAGTAATTAAATTCAATACTGGCTGAATCTTTACTATTTTTACTATAAAATTTTTATAACTTTAAACCTAAAACTATAATCTTATCACAAACAAAAGTTTTGACAACCAAAAAATTTTAGTAAGAAAGAATCTTAGCATATTACAAATCAAAAAATCAAAAATAAATAAAGTAAAATAAAAAAAAATGTAAAATAATATTTTATTCTTAACACTAATAAAATAATTAAACCTCACTTTTAATACTTGTTCTAACACCAAGCTGATTTTTAATTTTATTTAACAATTAACAATCATTTATTATATAGTTACAATAATACTACTATATTCTATTTTAACCTTTTTATAAAACTTATAAGCCTTTAAATTATTAGCCTATATAGTAAGGTTTTTTTATTAGTTAAAATTTCAATGAAAAGTTTTCGCAAGCAAAAAATAGCCTAAATTGCTAAGTTTAATTAATTTATTATATTTATTATAAGTTAAGCTAAAACATTTAAACATATCTCTCATCTAACTTCTGAATTACTTTGTAGATTACTGAACTGAATTACTTTGACAGTTGATAGAACAGAAGATATTCTATTAAATTTTTTTGGTATCAAGCTTTGCCAATTCATACCTGTTAATTTTTGTAGCTACGAAATATTATACTAATATGTCTTTTGTATTGTATAATATTTCAGTTAATCATCTAATTAAATTTAAAGCTGACTATATTTTGAATCACCATATAAGCAAATTTGACTCTATTTGATGGTTATTTGTGATATTTGCAAATAAGATCTTCAAATTTGCACTAACCAAATAAATTTATTTTATATAAATTTTGTAATTATTATGAATTTGTCTTATACTAAAAATCAATATTATGATCAGATGATTTCTAAACTAATTATAAACAATTATCTCTTTTAAATCTACTTGCAGTCACAATTTATAGATAGATTTTAGATTAGGGTTGGCAAATGACTTTTAAATGATATAAATAGCATTGTACATTGTTATTTGTTACTTTGTCATTTAGAAAGTAAATAACAAATAACAAAAATAAGTTATATTTAAAAATGCTAAGATTTTGAGATTATTAAAGTTTTGTGTTCTTCAGATATTTTAGGATTAAATAAATTCTAAAGCATCTAAAGTTTTACTATATTACTTTTAAATAACAAAAATAACAAATAACCTATATCGTTTGTTACTAATTTGTCATTTGTTATGAAAATTTTAAATGATATTATTATTTGCCAACTCTGTTTTAGATAGGTTTTTGATAAAATGAGTAGAAATAAGTTGAATAGATAGAAATAGACAAAAGGTATTGAAACTAAAAATTTTAACTTTTAAATAAAATTTTATATTAGGTTTTTTGTCTTTTGTTTATTTATATTTTTTTTTAGCATCTTCATATTTACAAACCTCTTTTTTTAAAATTTTTAGACTATCATGCTAAATATATAAATTATATAGAAATGCAAGAAACAAAATTTTAAAATATTTATTGTAGAACAAATATTTTTAAAGTATAGATATAAAGTAAAATACTCTGTATAAAAATATTGTAAAACCAAATTTGAAAATAATAGCATTCAATATTCGTTTTTTTTAAAGACTTGTTATATTTTTTAAATTAGACTTACTATATTATTTATTATATTTTTTCTTATACATATTGTATTATTAAAAGCCTTAAAAATTATCCTTCACATGATAAATTTGTTTGCAATTTTATATCTTTACTATATTAATGGCATAATGTTTCTAAACCCAATTATCACATTATGTGATATAATTAATTGGAGTCAAATCTGCCTATATGTGGATTATTAATGATTGAAAATATTATTAAGATAATGTAGAATAGTCAAACCATCATATGATCAATTGTAATGTATTAAATTAAGGAAAAGTCAAAGAAGCATGTAAGAACAGTATATAAAAAATCTAGGCAAATCTCCAAATTATCTGATATTTATATTAAATAATAGCAATAATATAAGTTTTGATAGTATATATATAAATTTTAAGCATAAAACATAAAATTTTAAAAGTATATATAATCAAAAATTTTTACAAATACAAAAAATACAAAAACCATTTTTTTTTTTTTTGTCAAATTCGGCAATCTTGCCAACACTTTATTAAGATAAAATATTAAACTCACAGGTTTAAAGTTATAAAAATTTTATAGTAAAAATAGTAAAGATTCAGCCAGTATTG